GCTTTCAGGGTGGATGTCACTTCGGCTCCATTCTGCAAGCTTTCTTGTGCCTTTTTCTACCTCCGGCCTGCTTATGCCCCGCCTGAGCCATCCTGGTCTTTAGACTGGGTGCTCTTTCTTTCTCTCTTCCCCTTGGTTTTTGGTGGCCCATTTGGTCCAAGACTTGTTTCCAGAAAGTTTTTTTCTTGTTGGCTTTGGGTTCTGGTGGTCGGGTCCGAGAGCTTCATGCTCTCCTTCCGTGCAGAGCTTTTAGCTCTTATGGTCTGGGTGGATGCTTTGTTTGTTTGCAGCTGTCTCTTTCTTTTCTGGCGAAGAACGAGACGACGGGCTTCCAGAGGTGCCCTTGGGTCATTGATGCTTGGTTGGTCAGGCTGAGGGTGCATCATGTTTTGTGTCTGGTTGCAGCTTTATGCCGTTACCTGCGCACCTTGGCTACTGTGTCTGGGGATGTGCTTTGGGTTGACCTGGTTTCTCTTGTTCCCTGTTCCAGGGCTTGGGTCTCTCAGGTTGTCAACAGGGTTTTCAAGTGTAGCCAGCCTGCAGTCTACCATCGTTCCCTGATGTTAGTAAGTTTGCAGCTTTGGCTGCTGTGTTTGCCAGTATGTATTGGGCGGATATTCGGGCACGAGGGCTTTGGAGATCGAACAAGGTCCTGGCTGCCTGATATCTTGTCAATGTGCTGGGCCCTCAGCGGTCTTGTCTCCTTGGGTCGGTGGTTGCAGCCAGATGTCTCGTCTTCAGTATGAGTCGTGCGGCGCAGCCACCTCCCAGGTAAGCCCCTATCATATTTCTCTTTGAGCTGTTAGCTCCAGGGACCCGACGAGGCTTCCCCACAGAAAACCAGCATTGAATGTAAAGAAATGCCATTTTCTGGGTAGATCCCTGGAGGCTCCCTGGCACCCTCTGTCCCACTGGTTGGCGGGTTTCGTTTTCGTTTTTCAGCCACGAAACTGACAGTCCGGCTGCCAGCTTGGTGGGCTATGACACCTCTTTCCCTCCTGGAGGGGACGGTGCGAACAAGTGGCACGCAGTGTAGTGACGTGTTGCTTGTCTGTCTTTGGGGGAAGTTTCTCACCTCTGTTCAGTCTCGGGTTGCAATATTTCTACCAGTTTTTTTTTATTATTATTTTCTACCACAGACGTGGCCACACATTTACAATGCTAACCAGCATATATACATTTTCTTCTGTCCTCCATGGACAGGGTTAGAGAAGTGTTAAACATATAGTTCAAGGGTTTATTGAACACTCAACCACAGAAGGTGATTCGGTGCTTTTAAAATGCTAAGCTAACCTACATACGTAAATACATAGATACACAGATTTACGTATGCCCTACATAAAGTGTTAGATGCGTCTTTTACATAGTGTCATTAATGTACATTCACAAAGGTGAAATGTAATTCTGATCAGCTTCCATATATACTTTATACCCATACATATACATACACACACACACACACACACACACACACACGTATACATACATATATACACACACACACACATGCATTCACATACATTTGTCTCATTTACTCTGACAGGGTGAGGTAGCTGATAAAGAAACTAGTGTGCAATTAAGCACTTAATCACTGAAGGTGATGAAGGTGCTTTTACAAGCTCAGGTTATATAGTTACATCATATATATACATTGTATGATTGATATATTACATGGTCAATCTTGGATACAGGTCTAATATATCATCAAGTGTTCCAGTACTCATATAGTAACTACAGAGTTCAGCATACCTTAGCCCAGGAGGGCGAAAGTCGGTCAGTATGGGGCATTCTACAATATAATGTTCAAGAGAGTGCATGTTTTCTCTTTCACAAAGTTGACACATTGTGTACTCGACATTTGGGTTTTGAGAAAGCTGCCAGATACGTCTATATCCCAGGCGTATTCTGGCCACTATAACATCACATTGCCGGGTTCTTGTTCTATTAGTCCCATATGTGAATGTCTCCTCACGATATCTATCATAATATTTAATGCTACAACTTTCAGGTCTTTGAGAATTTGTTAGGTCGGTGAGATTTTCATTAGATATTTGTTTAAGTATTCTCTTTGTCACTGCTAATGAAACACCCATATCAATTTCTACCACTGGTTTTCTGCAGGCTGACTTAGCAAGCATATCAACAGTGTCATGCCTTGAGATGCCAACATGTGATGGTATCCATAGGAATTTAATCTCAAATCTGTTTTCTTTGGCAGCTAAAACATTCATTCGAATATCACTGACTATTTTCTGGGTGTCACTACTATGTGCGTTCAATGCCAGGAGTGCACTCTGCGAGTCACAGTATATAAGTCCACTGCCTTTGTCTTTTAAAAATTCTGTGGCAAGGTATATGCCTGCAAGTTCGGTTTGAGTTGTACTTGCCCAGTCATTGACGCGCTTCATTGCTGTATGTATGAGAGAAGATTGTTCAAATATGTTACATGCACATCCGGTACATCGTCCACCTTCTTCTACAGAGCCGTCGGTATAGCACTGATAAACATCGTTACCCATACTCTGAGTACTTTCAGTGATGCTTTTCAGTGTTAACTGTTTTAATAATGTAGTGTGCACACTATCTTGGGTGCATTTACAAAATCAACTGATAGATCCCAGTTATCCCATGGAGTAATTGGCTGATTAATCATTAGTTGAGTTGGGTACATATTTAATATTTTGATGGAATTGGCTACCTTGTAGAACCAATATACATAATCAAATTTTGTTCTTCTAAAGTTTAGCTTGGAACTTCATGTGTTGTCTAGATCTACTCAATGCCTTCATGCCGAAAACTGTGCTAATAGACAAAATTCTCTCACTTATGGTAGGTAATTTTAACTCTGCTCTCATGTTAACTATTCTCGTGGACTTTGGAGCCCCAAGGATGAGACGCATAGCTTCATTTTGCAAGGTTTCAAGAGATTTCAGCTCTTTGTCAGTATACAGTGTGAGATGTAGAGCATTGTAGTCAATCACAGAGCGTATAAATGATACATAAAACATTCTAGCAAGTCTCACGTTAAGTCCATGATTGACACCAACAAGGACCTGCAAGGGCTTTAATCTCTCTCAAAATCTCCTCTTGAGAGAAGAAAGGTACCCAGGGTCGTTAATGGGAACACCAAGGTATCTGTAAGACTCGCAGTTCTCAAGTGCTCGCCCATCTATATGATAATTGGCTGGTGGAATACCACATGGAATGAGGGCACGAGTTTTCTGTACAGAGATAAGGAGGCCACATTCCTCAGCTCTAGGAGCAAAAGCGTCGAGCAGAACTTGCATTCTAGGCTCGGTGGCAGCCTGTAAACATCAGGCTGCATAACAAATGACAGTGTCAAATCATCAGCATAACAAATGACAGTGTCTTCATTATTAGTTGGAAGATCTTTAATAAGTTTATGCATCTGAACGTTGAACAACAAGGGACTGAGGACCCCTCCTTGTGGAGTTCCCAGTTCAAAGTGTTTGCTCTCTGTGCTTTTAACACCATTAAACAAAACATATGCTGTTCGATTAGACAAATAGCCCTTTATCCATTTCAGTAATTTTCCTTGTATTCCCAGCTCGGCAAGCTGTTCCAGTATGATTTCTCTGTTTGCTGTATCAAAAGCTGCTGCTAGGTCGATGAAGACTGTTTGAGGGGAAGCTTCAATATGTGCGAAGTACTCAGCAAAACAGTGTTGTGTACTGAGCCCAGGCATAAATCCAAACAGTTGAGGTGACAGGTGCCCCTATATACGATACATGAGTCGGTTAAGAACAATACGTTCAAGCACTTTACAAACACACGATGTTAGAGATATGGGTCTATAATTATCTGAGTGTGGTTTGGGGATGGGAACAATGACACTCTTTGTCCAAGCATCAGATAATACTCCTTCACGTAAACTCATTCTGTGCAACACTAATAATGGATTACCTGGTACCTGTGAGACTAATCTCAGTAGACTGTAAGTAATACCATCCTCTCCAGGAGCAGTTGATTTTCCCATCTTTAGTGCATGATTAAATTCCTATTCAGTTACATCATTAAGGTCTGACACGTCGATAGCTGTACAGGCAAGATTGATGGTTCATTGTCTGTTGGGGCGTGTGTCATCAAGTTTGTGCTGTATGTTAATTGGGAGTGAGTCATATCTCGATGTTAGTGCCCATTGATCAAGGAGGATGTTTGCTTGTTCTAGTGGGCTGTGGTGCAGCGGTTTGGTTGGGCTGCTTCTAGAGATTTTTCGTATCTTTTCCCAAACTTCAACAAGTGTTGTGTGCTCATTTATACTTTGTAGGAACTCTTCCCAATGTTTATTACGTATAACGGTGCTCATGTGTCTCACCTCTCTATTTGCAACTAGAAATGCATGCAAGTCACCTTGTGCTTTGGTTCGTTTGTACGTATCTCCAAGTTGCTTTATTCGTTCATGTTCTTTAACAAATACGGGGTCAAGGACCCACTTGGGTGGTGGTAGGTGTTGCCCACTTCTGCTAGGCTTACGACCTGTTCCCCAACACACCCATGTGTCATAGTAGGTAGTAATCATATCAACGAGATCTCTGGAGAAGGCTTGTACATTCGTTATTGTGTAATCTTGATACCATTTTGATATACAATTAATAAAGTGGTCATGCAAGCCATATGGAATATTCATTTTCCGTCTCTGATGTCTATTAGGTACATCACACTGTACCTCATAGGAAGCAGGGGTCTGTTTTGAAGTGCCTACCTCTCTGGGTGCTCAACCCTGGTCGATGGCAGACATGAATACTTTCATACATGTGAGTTTCATAGGCCATTGTTCCCTTCTCTCTCTGAGGGGACCATGTTTTGGCTAGTGGTCCCCAGTAGGCATGACAACTCCATCTGACTGCAGCCCTGCACTAATATTAGCTAATATCAGTCTAATAGCTCTAGGGAGCCTCCTGGGCACTACCCAGGAAATGGCATTTCATTACATTCAACACTGGTTTTTTGGTAATGCAATGTAACCATTTTGACTACAGAAAGTGGTGTTGTGGTGCCATAGGAGAGGAGATGCTAGTGGGAGGGGGTGGCACTGGTGGGGAGGATAGCCCCCTCTCTGTGTCCTCAACAGACCCCCTTAATGATGATCAAGTTAGCCTTATCCCTGGGCTTCAGGTAATTTACAGAACCTTTGAACAAGTTTATTGTAATTAATAGAAATATGATCCTTTTTCTGTAAAAGATAACTATTGAAAACTGTGTTTTTCTATGTTTGCATATGTAATGAAGTATTGTTGACCAAACCACACACTAGAAATTGAAGAGACGATGACGTTTCAGTCTGTCCTAGACCATTATCAAGTCGATTGTGATGAGACGAGGGAGGCAATGGCATTAATCCTTAAACTGCGCATGGCGTATATACACACCATGAGTAACATGTCCCACAGTGCGCATGGCGTATATATACGCCATAGGATGCCAGGCACGATTCAAGTAGCCCTCGGCTACACAGGGTTCACATTAGCTTCCTCAGGGCTCTTGTAAACGGATGCCATTTTTTTTTTTTTTTAATTGTGGGCAATATTCTCAGGTGTGAGAGGCACAGTACTGTTGGAGCAACCAAGGTTGGCGCACGCAGCCTGAGCAAACAGCATTGCTGTTCAGCTTGTGACCACAGCATCACCGAAAAATTTCAAAATAAATATATAATTGCTATTATTTAGCGATGACAATATTACAGATGACCCCTGACTGTGATATAAATAAACAGGGTGTGATAATAGCAGGATTGTTGTAATAATTAGCGCTGTGGGAAGAGTGATACTGAGGGACGGAGGGAGATTGCATCGTTTACTGACTGTGTGGTCACCTGTTATTGTCTGCATTCACCATACCAGCTCAGTGGTTCTCTATGATGAACACAACTATGGAGCACAACTATAGGAACACAACTGACTACCTTGAGGTTACCTTGAGGAGCTTCCGGGGCTTAGCGTCCCCGCGGCCCGGTCGTCGACCAGGCCTCCTGGTTGCTGGATTGATCAACCAGGCTGTTAGATGCGACTGCTCGCAGCCTGACGTATGAGTCACAGCCTGGTTGATCAGGACTAGGGGACACAGGTGGAAACTGAGTGCCCAAATGAACCACAGAGATATTAGAAAGAACTTTTTTAGTGTCAGAGTGGTTGACAAATGGAATGCATAAGGAAGTAATGTGGTGGAGGCTGACTCCATACACAGTTTCAAGTGTAGATATGATAGAGCCCAATAGGCTCAGGAACCTGTACACCTGTTGATTGACGGTTGAGAGGCGGGACCAAAGAGCCAGAGCTCAACCCCCACAAGCACAATTAGGTGAGTACAAATGTAGATACTTACATATAATGTGAGTATTAGTGTAATAACAGCAAAAGGATTATGCTGGGTGGAGCCATTTGGGTGACGGAGGTGGCGTCGTCTGCATGACTTGTCTGGATGTGTAGAGGGTGACCACTATGCTCTTTGGGCACCCTACAAGCTTAGGTGTACAGTTACGGTGCATACAACATGTAGATACTTGTATATAATATGTGTATATAGTGTAATAACACTGCAAACAGTATTGTTGGGGGAGAAAGTTGAGTGCGTGTGACCTTGAATGAGTGAGGGAGCCGCCAGCTGACTGTGTGTGTAGCGGCGACTCTTAGTGCCTGAACTAACTATATCAGCTTAGTTGTACAGTTGTGTCGAACAAAACATGTAGATTCTTATAATAACATCTGTATATTGTGAATAAAATATAAAACAGGATGGTGGGAGGAAAAAGTGGGCGAGTGAGGCGTTGTTAGGAGAGTGGCAACGAGTGGCTGGCTGGTGTGTGGCAGTCGCTCCTCGTTGCTTTTCGACTCTCATAACCAACTTAGTGGTTTGTTATGGTGAACAAAACATGCAGATACTTATATATAACCTGTGTATAGAGTGTAATAACAGCAAAACTATTTGTTTATTGTTTTATGCACATAATAATTGAATAACTAATATGCACACCATACTTTTGAGTATAGTGATTATTCACCACCTTTATTATATAAATATATTACAATACACACTATTGAATAATATTACTGCAAAATAACTAAGAAAAAATCAATCAGAGACATTGAAATAATTAAGTGATAATATCTTTGTGGCAACTCCCACCTGTCAGTGCGGGGTGACGCTGACCGACTCTGACGATGCTCTGTCAACGCCCACTTTTTGCCAGACTTCCTCGTAAATTGCGCCCAAAATATGTCACCTACCATTTTATTTTTATTTTCCCGTGCTCAGGGAACACAAATTAACATGTTTAGAAGACAAAATAATTTTTTAGAATTTTTTTTTTCTTGCGCACAGGGGTGTTAATGTCCTCAGGACCCCTTAGCAGTGGAAGGGTTAAGTAAGGCAAGAGAGAGAGGGGTGAGGAGATGGAAATCTTAGAGTAAGATAAGAGCAAAGCAAAAAGGTACAGAAGGTAAGGTGTAATATAGGATGTAATAATAGGAGTAAGAATGGGAATGTAAGAGAAGCAAGAAAAAGGAAGGGAAGGCTTTCGTTAGATTATGTTTGTTAGAAAGTTTAGAACATTTGAATCTGTACTGTGAAAAGGAAGAGTCAACAGCAATAAAGCCAGGACTAAGGCTCATGTTGGGTTGGTTGTGTATCAGAGCCGATTCGACAAGATGGCGTCTGTGTAGAGTAGAGGCAGGAAAGATTATTTTAGGGGAAGATCAATCAATAGGATGACCAGAATCCCTAACATGACACAAGAGTGCATTGTTTGTGTCTGCAGACTTAACACTTCTTTTGTGTTCCTTGAGTCTGTCATTAAGTGTACAGCCAGAATTAAATTTTTGAGCCCTCGGGTGTGGGGGAGGGGCCGGGGGAGCATGATGGATGCAGTTAAGTAGTGAGAGGAGCTGCCTTACATGGGCCACATTCCTTGCTGGCCTTTTCTTTATTCTTATGTTATACAGTGAGTGGTGATTGTACTGGAGTATTGATTCCATTGTGAGTGGAGGAATGGGTGGTGTTTGTAGTGAGTGAGTGGGTTCTTTTCCATGGGTCATCCTCAACCCTTTCTCCTTTTGCTTGGGGGTCCCTGTCAGGTGCTCTGTCCTGTGTAGGTTAGGTTAGGGGGCTGCTCTTACCAGGTGGTCCTTCAAGGATTTGTCCCTCTTCCAGGTGATCATTTGGGGGAATTCTGCAAAAAAGGGCCACAAGGGGTACTTTCCGTAGGTTGTTTTCAGCCAATCCTAGATTTTCGTCAAGTTCTGTTGTAGGGGGCTGCTAGGCCTTCCATGAACAGTGCTAGTAGGATCCATCTGCCTGGTTTCGTTGCTGTAGTCGCCTCTTGTAACATCTGTTCTTGTCTGTAGGGCTAGTTTATGCTCTGCTTGTTGTAGAACAGGTTCTGGGTAACCCCCTATCTCTGAACTTCTGCCATAGGTATTGGAGTTATAGGTTCAGGGTGTCACCCTCACTGTTGATGCATTTTAATCTCAGGCCTAGGGAGAAGGGAAGAGATATTTTAAGGGCTGTTGGGTGGCTCGAGTTATACCTTAGGTAGGAGTGGAGATTTGTGGGTTTGTAGTATGCCCTGGTGTGTAACCTTCTGTCTTCTTTTATGAACATGGTTGTCTCCAGAAAGTTTCTCTGTCCCATTTTTCTCTAGGGTGAATTTAATATTCCCAATATTCCCATGGGCTGTGTTTGTCCAGTCATAGAAGGACTGGAGTCTCTGGTCTCCTTCTAGCATCACTTTGAACATATCGTCAATGTATATGAAATATATATCTGGACTATCTACCCTCTGTTTTCTGTATCTTAAAGGTTTTGTGGACAAAAATCTCTGCAATTGCGACACTGCTGGAAGCCCCTATTGCTGTATCCTTTGTCTGGCTATAGATGTCTGGCCTGTTGAATTGCAGGATCGTGTCACGCATTACGTGGTGTGTTGCCTCCTCGAAGAGATACCTTGCTGGGGTCCTCCCTACTCCTGCCTCCCGTAGTTCAGTTCGTATTCTGTTTATTTCTTTAAAAAAAAGTGGAGACCACTCTTGCCGCTTCTCTGTGGGCAGTACTTGGGTCGAGTGATACTATGTTCATCGAGAAGAGGAGGGCGTTTTCAGGGAGTGGGTCTGTCCTTTCGTTGAGCTCCTGAAGTTTTATCGGGAAATCGGTCGTATCTTTAAAGTCTCTCCGGGAGGAGGCTTTAAAGGGGGTTTAAGAGGGCCATACAAATCCAGTTGATAAACCTGGTTGGGACTCTGTATCCACTTGGTACCAGTCTCCCCTGCCATGTTCCCATGTTTCTATTTATTTCTTTATGTATTTTAGGTAGTAGGTCTATGCTTGGGATCTCCGTGGTGAAGGCTGTGAAGGCGTCCCTTGCCATTGCTTGTAACAATCCTCCTGTTAACCCATTGTTTAGGTTATAGAAAAGTTTAAGGGTCAGTCTCCTACTTCTTGTCTGTGCGTTTCTCAACGCTGTGCCCCGTTTGTGACCTCACTGTAAGTTGTCTTGTCCCTCAGGTCTCTCTCCATCTCTGCTTTGTAAGTTTGTCTTCCATAGGACGATTGAACCTCCTTCATCTGCAGGTTTGATGACGATATCCATTCTTGAATTGAGGGTTCTCAGGGCGTCTTTCTGTTGGTGGTAGGTTGCACTTCCTCCTGTGTCTAATTGTCTGCATCAGGTTCGTTCTCATATTTTCTACCTCAACAAGGCGTCATTTGCCTTGTTGAAGTTGTTTGTGCCAATTCTGAAGGAAGCGGTGTCTGTTCTTTACTTCTTGCCTTGCGTGCAGACAGGTGGTACTCGCTCACTCTTTGGAATCTGCTTGGGCCCCTAGCTCATAGATTTTCATCCCCTTTCTGGGGGGGGAGGGAGCCCCTTCGGCTCCCTGGATCTATCCAGGCTGATATGAATATACCTAAACTTTGGCACCAGTCAGTGTGAGGTGGAGTTCTAGGCCTACCGGGGACCACGAGCCAGAACCTGACCCCCTCAGAGAGGCATGAGGAGCAATGGCCCATAGAAATGTTCATGTGATTTGGAGCATTCAGTATCTGCCATCGACCGGGCCAGGCACCCTAGAAAGGTAAGTGCCTCAAAACAAACCTCTATTCTGGTTTAAAACAACGAAAATAGA